TAACAAAATTAAATGCAATAAAGGGGTCCAAAACCACAAGGTTTCTTAAGTTTGCTCCAATCTTCATCTTTTCATTTGATCTCTTTGTCCAAGAAGATAAGGAAAAAGGCTTTCATCATCTGAAGGTGATCAAAAATTTCAAGCTGACTTCTATGACCAGCATTTCAGAAAAGTGTTACAGTGCCCCAGGAGATGTTTACTTTGGTTTTAGTATTCTGAGAATTCTATAAAAATGCAGAAAATTACAGGTTTGATTCCAAAATCATGAATGCCCCCCCTTCCCCAGGTGGAGACTAGGATACAGGGTTAGAACTGGATGCCCCAAGAAACTGTCAAATTATTGACTAGTATATTCAACTGAAATGAAAACACACACACATAGACTATTTAAAGAGATAGTATGATTTATATAAAACTGTATTTTTCCCCTTTCCAGTTTCTAAGTTTAAAAAGATAAGGGGACCAAAATACACTTAAGGATGCATTATTTGAAGTTACTTTATCAACAATGATAGCACAAAAACACGGACTATGCAAAGTATAAGGATTCACCAATATCATAGATAAAATCTTAAAACTAAAGAAGTTCATGAGTAATTTTATATTCCAAGATTGTAAAAAAGCAAAAAGCCATTTGTACTACTTTAAAAATTCAAATGTGATATTATATACAATGAACATAAGTTTAAAAGTACGAAATTTTCACTTTCTGTTTCAATGGTTTCACAGCATTTCTAAAGTTTTTCATGACTGACCATCTAAAAAATAAAATATCTCTAGTATATTGCAATCAACTTGTACTTTGGTAATTAATACCCAGAGCACAAATTCCCAATATGATGAAAGTCTAATTTTTTAGAAACCACATTTATAAATAAGCAGTTAGGGAAAACTCGTGCTGAGCTCAAAATGTGAGGTTTCTATGCAAGATAAATCACCTTTCTTATATGAACTGCTCAGATCAAAATGTCAAAACAATTAAATTACAATTTTGCCTGACATCAATATCCCATGCAATAGTGCAAAACAGAAAACCCTGATTTCAGGAATACTGTTGGCCTTAAACTGACAAACAAATTAAGTAATCAATCAAATTTTGGTAAAACAAACAAAAAATGAGACACAATGCAGGTGAGAGCAGATCTGAAAGGTCAAGGACTTCAACAAGACTCACTTCTCATACAATTTCATGTTTTTTGGCTCAAAAGGAAAAATTCTATTACACAAATACAAAACACACAAACATAAGGTCATATATTTTACTACCTATATACCAAATATGACTATAGATTTTAATAAACCATACATAAATGTAAATCACATCAATTTTATAATTATATGTGCATGCTGATATCTAATATTTATATGTGTGTATTTGTGTGTGAAGACAGAGGTAGAAGGGGAGCTTAATTTTTGCCTTAACAAACCTAGTTCTCCTATATTGCTCTGTCATCTGTTTCTTTGTACCATGTAAAAAAGTATACAACCATAGTATGTTTGAACTGTAGAATGATCTCCTCATTTTTCAGTAAAAAACTGAAGGCCACTTAAGACATGAACACAAAACTATCTGGAGACGTAACTGGGACTACAATTCCAGGCCCCTAAGCCAACTCCAAATCTTTTGAACTAATCATGAGATATACTAACAAGACATACTCCTGAGTAGACTGGGGTTCATTATGCGATTCTACTATTGCATATCTGATAATTTCCATAATAAAATAAAAATGTTTGGAAACCTAACAATCTAAAAGCATTCAGTATCTCCATAAGGCATTAACAAATGTATTGCAATATTTAATTGAGGGGAGAGATCATGTCATTTACATAGTGGTTATCACCATCCCCTGCCAAGACTTTATGCAGAACCCTGTTTTATAGTAAGAATTCAAGAAACAAATGGTCCTTAAACACTAATTAAAAAAAAAAACTCAAGGTTCCTTTTCCAATTCTAACAATTCTCCCCATCTTGTCAAATTGCTCAATATCTATGAGTAATGTTGTCAAAATCATACCATATATCTGCAAACTATCTGTTGCCAATCCAGTCGTTTTCACATCATTTTCAAATGATATTTGTTGCCAATCATCATTTTTTACATTTTAAAAATCCAATCTGAAATCTAATCCTAGCTAACATCTCTTCCCAGATATACCACCTTTCTATAATTAGATTGGCCACTAGTGACAACACTGTTCTCCATTTGATCACACTTGGTACTTACACAAAAAGGATTTGTTTGATAATAGTAATATTCTTAGAACTTTACTGTAATTATCTGCTGCAAGGGAGGTGAGATTCCTCATCAGAGCCCTTCTCAGGTTTCATCATATGATTTAGCTTATTTCCTTCTTTTCCCCTACTCTTATCTTGCAATCTCAACTTTTTCTTTAAATCTTCTCCTAAGCAAAGCTCAAGGTAGAAATCCCCTCTTTCTTTCCTCAACGATGCACAAAGTATTCTGCTTCAAGCAATTCTCAGAATCTCAAACCATTCTTTTATCAACTATTCCTGACCAAATGGGAAAAATGGTAATGATTCCTACAAATTTCTCATGTACCACAACTTACTCTCACACACAATGAGAAACGAGAAGGAATCCAAATAGAACATCCACATTCCCCACCTCCATCTGTGCCCACACACTTTTCCCTTTCCCAATATTTTCATTACAGGTATTGATCAACTTAGGACCTATGCAACTTACGACCATTCGACTTTACGACCACAATCACTAGCCACGACTGCTCCGCGTCTGGCAGCGCAAACGTTGCCCAGTTGGGCGTACGACAGTGCGGACCAGCTTCCAGCAGCACTACCATCTCTGCGTGCACCATTTCAACTGTACATATAGTGTACTCAACTTACGACCAAATCGTGTTACGAGCGGTCTGCCGGTCCCAATCGTGGTCGTAAGTCGAGCACTAGCTGTACTTCTAGGTAAATAGCTCATAAGATAGCAACACATAAACTCTCTTGTTGTATTCGTGTGTCCTTTCTCACCTCCTCACAAACCCTACTCCCCTCTGTCTCCGGCATCAATTTCTTCCTCTCTACTGGCTCTTTGTCATCAGCATCACAACATTCCATTGTTTTGTACACTTTAAAAACTATCTTTACATCATCTGGTCCTACAACTAATGCTCCATTTCCTCCCTCCCTTTTCAACAAGAATGTTCAAGTGATGAATACCATCACCCTCTTCAATGTCTCTCCTTCTACTCTGTCAAAAACAAGACAAACAAGCTTTTGTTCCTATCTACTCCAAGAAAACTGCCAACACATGGTCATCAATGATTTCCTTTACTTAATTTTCAATCCTCATGTTTAAAACAGGTGACCAGCCCTCTACTTCTTGAAACACTTCTAGGATTTCTACTCTCCTGCTTTCCCTTTTACCTGGAATACAGCTCTTTTTCTGACTCCTTTTCTGGTTTCTCCTCATCTCATAATGCTGATGCACACCATTATGTGCCAGACTTTATGACATAAATTCTGGTTCTTGGTCATCTTCAATGTTCTAAACTCACACACTTCTGATGAATTCAGTCAATCTATTTGCTTAAAACCAGCTATATGGTGAAGAGTCCTAAGTGTATGCCATTAGCTTGGTCTTCCAGCTCTCTACTTGACAGTTCCATTTTAATATCTCAAACGCATCTAACACCTAACATATCCAAATCCAAATTCTTAATCCCAATTACCACATCTTCTTCCTGTTCTTCCCAATCTCAGCTAACAGAAACTATAGTTGCTTAGGCAATTATTCTCCTTAATTTCTTTTGCTCTCACATTCCATATTCTATCTCTCAGCAAACCCTGAGGAACACACCCTCAAAACATATACAGAATCTGAACCATTCACTTCCTCCACTGCCATTATCCTGGTCTAATCCACTACGGTCTGTCACATGAATAATAGCGTAACTGCTATCTCTGCCTCTAACCTTGCCTTCTTCAGTCTGTTCTGAACACAGTAGGCAGAGTAATGGTGTCAAATACATGTGTTAGATCATGTCATTCCTCTGGTCAAAAGACTCCAATGGCCTCCACATGGCTTCAAGTAAAGGTTATCATTACAATAGCTTACCAGACCATGTGGCTCCTATGACATTTAAAATCCCATATCCTACTTCTCCTCTATCGTCTATTCCACTCCAGCTACACAAGCTTCTTTGCTGATCCTTGAACACAGCAACATGCCCGGCCTCTGCACTTGCTATTTCCCTGTGACTGGAAAGCTCTTGTCCCAAATATCATATGGCTCACTCCCTCAACTGCTTCAAGTCTACTGAAATGTCACCTCCTCCAGAGAACTTCCACTAAATCACTAAACACACATACTCTTTTTCTTGCTTTATGTAATAAGTCCATAGCACTTACTATGGTTTCACCTTATAACTTTCTTATGTACCATACATATTGTCTCCCTCCACTAGAATGGATATCCCAAGAAGGCAGAGGTTTCTTCTTTGCTTTATAACAGTGTCAAGAACACTGCTTGGCACACAGTAAGCAATCAATAAACAATTGTTGACTAATGAGTACTGAGTGCTCTACATAAATATAATAATGCTTTATGTAAGCAATTAATAAATTACATTTTATTCTTGATGATCGTCCTACATTAAAAGTCTTTAATATTCTTTGTATGGTACTGGGAATGCATGTCATCCTTATCAAGAGGAGTTACTTTTACACTTCCCGTTAGGTCTTGAGATCAGACATTACTGCCGATTGTAAAGGAAAAAATATCTCAAAAAAGTTAAAGGTGAAACTATTGTTGAAATAATTCCCCTTTCCATTAAGAATTGTTCGGGGGCGAGGTGGGAAGAAATGGTGAAAATCCTACTTAAATACCAAAAATCCAGTTTAAAATCCAACTCTTCCTTGTAAGTGTTTCCTCCCCCATTCTCCAGAGCACTCTGTAGTGCTCACCATGGCCCTTCTCCTGAGGACAGGAACTGCATCGCTTCTTCTTAACCTGCCACCAGTTAACACAGCATCTAGCTCAGAGATGACATCTGAAGAAACATTATCAAATTGAACTCATTGCCGGGAATACTACAGGATCTCATGACACAACTGTTAATGTTTGTCAAGATGTATCCCTTCAACAGAAGCAACACCATTATCAGAAGGTTCTCGGGTAGTTTAAAAAAAAAAAAATCTACCTTCTCTGTTCTGCAGGGGTAACTGCAGCAGAACTTTGAGTCCAGCAACGTAATCTACAGTTAACTAATCCACTGCCCTCCTGAGGATGCAAGCCCTAGTACGCAAAGACCGCTCAAGGACCACAATAAAGAAATGTCAAGGGCACTGCAGGTTATTCCATTGCTGTTCTGAGAGTGAGGGAGAAAAGAGCACAGGGCTCCAAGAGAGGTAATACGAAGAAAAAATGAAGGGAAAAACGAGAGAGACGAATGCGGGGGAACACAGGGAGGGCGAGCTACGAAGCCAGGAAGCTGCAGCGCACACGCGGGGGCCAGCCAGGCGCCAGGCAGAGCCGGCAGCGCGGCTTCTCATCCGCTTCCTTGAAAGCGCCACCCGCGCGTCCCGTGGAGCGACGTGCACACGCGCGGGCGGCCCTGCGTGGCGCGCCGTCCCTAGCGCCCGGGTGCGCGGCGCCGCTCTCGACCTGCGCTCCGCCCGCGCGGCGTCGGGCTGCCCGGCCGGGGGCGTGCCGTGCCTACGTGTGTGAACGTGTCAGAAGCGGGCACTGGGGAGCGGCTTCGGGAGGCGGGCGGGGGCTCCTCAGGCCCGCGCGGGCCCGGGACTGGCGGAGGCAGGGGCACCGCGCGCCACCCCGCGGACTCGCTGTGACCCCGCCGCCTCCCGGGCGCCCCTCGGCTCGGGCACTTCACGCCGGGTCGCCGCCCGGGCCCCGCGCAGGGGTGCGGCCCACGGCGCAGTCGCGCCGCTGGGTGGGAGGGAGGAGCAAGGAGACACTCGGCCCGGGCCGCGCCGCCTCAGAGCGCGGAGCTCGCTGTGGCAAAACTTTGAAAAGAGAAGGACTCCGATTACCTGAGCGGCGCGGGCGCGGGCTGGTCTGCGGTACGGCTGCCGGGCCGGGCCGGGTTTTCAGCAGCCGTAAAGCGAGAGAAGCGGGCGCGAACCGCGGCGCGAACCCTCGCCCCCGAGCGGCGGCCCGGGCGCCCCCGCCGCGAGCGTCAGCTTGGCACGGAACGGGCCGGGCTGAGTCACGATCAAAGACGCGTTTGCCGAGCCCGGCGGGAAGACGGGCCGCGAGCAGCCGTGTTCAGTGGCAGAAGCCTCAAAAATTGGGAAGGATTTTTTTTTTTAATGGGCAAAACTAGAAACTTGCCCCATTGTACTCCACCAAAAAAGATGTTTCTTTGTAATTTGCATATATTTTATACCTAATCTTTATATCTAATAAAATTTTTAAAAGCAATTTTAAAGTGCATTGCTTGCAGTCAAATTCTTGGGTGTAGCTTCATGACTTACGCAAGTTACTTGAATTCTGTGCTTTTGTGTTTCATCCATGACACAGAATAATAAACATCCCTGGAGACAGAGACTGCGAGAGACCTTGGCAGCCTCCCCACGCCTACCACTCGCTAAACGTGTATTGTTTTAAAAGAGAAGGGAGAAGATAAGAGATGAACAGTTTTGAAGGGAAGACAATACAAACGTGAAGCAAGTTTTGTTTTTCTTTTTTCAAGTGGAGTAAATTAGACAAATTACCAATGGAAGAGAAGAACGTAGAGGCTGGAAGGAATTTATGAGGCTAAGAGAAGGAGCTGAAGTGAGAGAAGGAAGAAGGGAAGGAGGAAAGAAGAGAGAAACAGGGGAGAATAAAAGCCTCCAAGGAACAAACCAGGCTGCGAGATGGGGCTGAAAGGAGGGAGGAAGGAAGAGAAGGAGAGATAACACCAAGGAAGGAAGGATAAAACTGGGCTCTGTGGGAAGAGGGGAGGAAGGAAGGAAAGAGAAATTCAGCTAGGCCCAGTGGCCAAAATGCTGAGGTGTGTCCTGCAGGGAGGGGGTGGAGGAATATGTTTACTCACTGTTTAGAAATGCATGACAAACTCCATCCGCTGAGGGAGATTTGTAAAATACATAAACAGATAAACAACTGTCTAAAAATGAGCCCCAAATGAGGAGCCTTTGCTCCAGTGAATGAGATTTGGCAGTTCTGCAAAATGAGGAAATTCTTCCTTGTGCGGCTTCTTAAGGGGTTGAGTCATGAAACCCACAGCAAATGTCGGTGGGCTGGATTCCTGAAAGGCATGCCAGATGGATGCATTCTGGTTCGTTTTACTGTGTGATGTTCCCTTCTGTACATCTGTCGGTTTTAGAAGAAAGGAGTGTGAATAAAGATTTGAGAAGTAAACTTAAAAATAAAAGCCAAACTAGTTATTTAATGTATGAGTATCCACCCACCATGAGCTTACAGTTACAGATTCCAAAACAAGTAACCATTTCTCCCACTTTTCATTTCCCTCCCCTTGGTTTCTACGTTCACTGTATTTCTTTTTATCTACTTTTATAATATTATTTTTAAAGTGGAACTGCCTAGAGGAAAGGTGCTTTTAATTAATACGAAAGAGTGGAAAGAATTTCAGCTAGGCCTCTCTAAGAAAGTAAAGCTTTTTGAAAGAAAGGGCTTTTAGCTGAAGTTTTAATGACAAAGAGTTGGCAGATGTGAAATCAGAAGTTTTTTTAGACAAGCAAGAGAGTGAAAGAGAATGGACTAGAAATCAGAAGCAGTTCTATTCCTTAATTACCATAAGAACCAAAGACTAGAGGAAAGTTTTTCCTACCCTGTAAAGAAAAATGGGGGCTTCTCTCCACCAGCCAGAACTACCAAAAAGAGGAAAAAATAAAAATTAAAAAGCTCGATCAGATTCTTGTAATGATTTGCCTTTTCTTAGGAGGTCTTCTTCAGATAAAAGACACGAAGGTGCTCCTTTCAGCACCATCTGAAGCAATACTTTTGTAGAAGCAAAATTTCTGAAGGGATAATTTTTGGTCGAGCAAAAACCATTAAGTAAGATAAAAATCCCTTTCCCTTTGTTTCAATTTTGCTAAGCCTTCAGGCTGAGGCAAACAGATCATCATTAAACCTTTATTAATGTGAAACCCAAAAAAGATAAAATCTTAAATGCTGGGAAGCCCTTACCTAAAAGGAGCAAGAAAACAAACCAAGGCCCAGAAAATAGAGAAAGAGATTAGGAAGCTTTTCTAAGGGGCACCTTTGAACTGCTGGCTGTAAAATGAATGTCTGTGACTTGCCTTAAACAAATAGGCAATACAAACTAAAGCTGGGAACTAAAAAGATCTGGTCAGATCAGATAAAAAGCTTACCTTGTGTGAAACACTGTGGTCAAAGAAGAAAATTCCATTCATCTTAAGTGGAGACAAAAACGTGTTATCACTTGTTTTGTGTGTGCTCATGAGACATCTCAATCACCCGAATCCCCTTGGGTGCAATTTTTTGTTGGACTCGGATTTTGTAAACTGAACCTGGACTTGGGTTTTGATCATATGAATTTATCCAAAGGTGAGTTGTAATACCTGTTTGCTTTTAAGTCACTTAAATCCACCATTAATTAATGTTAATAATTTAAATAATTTAATATTTAAGTAAATAGTAATTGGCTTTTCAGGGTGTTTTATAAAATGTGTTTTAATTAAATTATTTTAATTTGATGATATTGTAACGGGAGGGAATGGGGCGTCCCGAAGAGGCTCCCAGTTCCAAGGTCCTTGGCCTCTCTTACCCTGAAGAATGAGGAAAGGGGCCCCAGAGGTGCAGTGAGCTTAACATTTGAATAAATATCGTGGGCCCAAAGAGTTTTGCAGAAAAGCAATTTATTAGGCAGAGAGATAGAGAAAGAGAGAGTGAGAGAAAGAGCTCCCAAGCCATTGTGGGAGGGGAATTCGGAGGGGATATCTGTATAGGAGCAGCGGAGTTTTAACCCTGGAGTTATTTCCTCCTCATTCATGTTCTTGTCCAATAGGAGGAGTTATTTCAATCTTCTTCTGGAGTGATTGATCTTTGACTCTGATACCTGAGTGGCTGCTTGGTCCACAACAGAGCCCCCTCTGCCCAGAGCTTTCCTGGGCTTTTTGGACAAAGAAGCCCCCCCTGGGCAAATCATGAGGTCAGGAGTTCGAGACCAGCCTGACCAACATGCTGAAACCCCGTCTCTACTAAAAATACAAAAATTAGCTTGGCGCGGTGGTGTGCACCTGTAATCCCAGCTACTCAGGAGGCTGAGGTTAAGAGAATCGCTTGAACCTGGGAGGCAGAGGCTGCAGTGAGCTGAGATCACACCACTGCACTCCAGCCTGGGCAACAGAGTGAGACTCCATCTCAAAAAAAAAAAAAAAAAGAAGACCACCTGAATTCCTTTACCTAGCCCTTGAAGGGGAAGGCCAGACAAAGAACTCTAGTTCCCGGATACGGGTGTAGATGGTGGCCAGGTGCTGGAAAACTGCTGCCTTTGAAACGACGCCCCTGGTGGACCCAGGAAGAGAAGTTTTTTTTCCTTTACACAGTCCCTCAATATTACAGTTGCCTCATATACAATTGAATTTAACCTTAGTGTGCTAATTTGATTTTCATTTAACATGATTAAGTTGGAAAAGATTGTTTCGATTTCAAAAGATCATATTTTTTCTCTAATATAAAACCTCAGAATAGTGAGAATTTCCTGCCGTGTTGTTACATTACCTGTTGCTAAATCACTGGATAAAAAGAAGCAGTAGTTAAACAGCCAAATAGCCTACAAATTTATAGTTTTGAAAACTAATTTCAGGAATTCTTCTAAAGACTGTATCAAAGCTGAAATGTGGTTGCCAACAGAAATCTGAGCTTTAGCTGACGACAGCGTGTTGCAAGATTGCTTAATGATCCAGCTCAGTAAGAGAGGACAGTCTTAAAAGGTGCAGTTTCTTCAACTTACATGCCAACCAATGAATGGATAGAAAAATGTGATATACTACATATACACACACACACTTATATCTGTGCTGTGTGTGTGTATATATATATATAATATATATATAATATAATGTGTATATATGTATGTATATATGCACACAAACACACTCCATGGGTTTCTACTCAGCTTTAAAAAAGAATGAAACATTGTCTTTTGCAGCAACTTGAATGGAACTGGAGGCCATTATTCTAAGTGAAGTAACTCAGGAATTGAAAACCAGATATCACATGTTCTTACTTATAATTTGGACCCAAGCTACAGGTAAGCAAAGGCATACAGAATGATGTAATGGACACTGGAGAGTCAGAGAGTGCAGAGAAGAAAGGGGGTAAGTGATGGAAAGTTATCTGTTGGGTACAATGTACATTCCTTGGGTGACAGTTGCACTAAAATCCCAAACTTCAGCGCTATACAATTCATCCATATAATCAAAAACCACTTGTATACCTAAAACGATTGAAATTTTTTTTAAATTTTAAATTAAAAAACTAAAAAATAGCAATAGGGAAGATAGAGCTTACCAAAAACAAAAAACTACCAAAAGATGCAGATCTTGTTTTTTCCTGTCAACCATGTACATGTGTTTATGGAAACTGTCATACATATTTTAGAAGAGGTTTACTTGAAGCTATTCAAATCCATAGCACTCTAACCTTTCTAGATATTTGAGGTTTTAAGAGTGGTCACTCTATGTTTTTAATTTTTGGAAACAACTAGACAGGTTTAAGTAATTAAAAATTATTTTTGCAAGTCCTCTTTTCCTTTTTTATTGTGGTAAAATGCAACATAAAATTTATCATCAACAATTTTTAAGTATACAGTTCAGTGATATTAAATATTCATAATTATTGTGCAATACATTACCAGCATCTATCTTTAGAACTCTTTTCATCTTGTAAAACTGAAACTGTACCCATTAAACAATTAACTCCCCATATGCCACATCTTGACTATCCATTTATCCTTCTGTTAACAAAAGACCCATGAGATCTGTGGAAACAAAGGAGAACTTTATTTTCTAAAAGCAATATGGAGATTGGGATGATGTAGTCTTTAGTGCAGAATGAAAGTGTGCCTCAAGGAGGGGTCAGAGAGTCTCAGATTATAAAGGCAAAAACCACAGGACGAGGGTAGGGGTCCAAATCCAGTGCCACGTTCGGACTGGATAAACTTTAAGCAAGACGTCGCAAGTATCTCTTTATTGGCTGGCCTCATGTGATCTGTTTGTGGTCAGTTTGAAAATTTCCAGCTGCAGTCTATCTCGGTTCCAATAACAGGAACTGGTTTGGCTTGATTGCAAAAAAGGAAGGTCTTGTGAAACCTTTACAGCCTCTTTCTGAGAATATACAGTACATGGCTATTCCTTTACCCAGCTATGGTCACCTTGCTCTATTTTAACACAGAGTTCTTCAGCTGCAAGTAATTCATTTTATCTCTCATCCAACAGCATACTTTAACACTTTGATGGGCACTTGGATTGCTTCTATGTTTTAGCTATAACCAAAAATTGGAATTGCCAGATCATATGGCAGTTCTATTTTTATTTTTGTGGAAATGCCATAGTGTTTTTCACAGTGGCTGCACCATTTTACATTCCCACCAACAGTGCAAAGAGTTTCAACTATACATCCTCACCAACACTTTTTATTTTCTGTTTTTCTAATTGTAGCCACCCTAATGGGTGTGTAGGGATGGACAGATGTGATACCTTTCCTCATTCATTGTAAAGGTTATGACCAAGACTCCTATAACAAAAGAAAGGTAACTAGACAAAAGCATAATGAATTTGTTTAATCTAAGTTTTACATGATACAGGAGTCTTCATAAATGAAGACCCAGAGACCGAGGGAAAACTAATTTTAGGCTTAAGTTTGATGAAGAATGGGCAGCCATGTAGAATTGTGATTAGGCAAAAAAGATGTGATCTGTGATCTACAGACATGGAGAAATGTGACTGCACCAAAAAGGTAGAGGATCGGGACTTTCTCTCACACACACCCCATCTTGGGAGAGGGGAGGGGCTAAAGATTAATTTGATCACCAATGGCCGTTGATGTAATCAACCATGTCTACATAATAAAGCCTCTGCAAAAACCCCAAAGGACAGGGTTTGGAGAGCTTCTGGATAGCCGAACACATGGAGGTTCCTGAGGTTGGTGCACCTCAGGAGGGTATGGAAGTTCTGTGCCTTTTCCCATACACCTTGCCCTCTGTACCTTTTCCATCTGGCCATTCACCTATATCCTTTGTAATATTTTAAAATAATAAATGGGTACACATCAATAAGTGTTTCTCTGAGTTCTGCAAGCCATTCTAGCAAATTACTCAAACCTGGGAGTTGTGGGAACCCTGATTAATAGCTGGTCGATCAGAAGCACAGATCATAACTTGTGGTTGCAACTGACTGGCATCTGAAGTGGGGAGCACCCATGTGGAACTGAGCCCTCAGCCTGTGGGACCTGACACTATTGCCAGTTAGATAGTTGCAAATTGAGTTGAATTATAGGACAGCCGGCTGGTGTCAGTTGCTGAACTGATTGTTTGCTTCATGCGTAGAGAGAAATTCGCACACATCTTACTGACTAGAGGTGAAGTATTCTCTGTTGTATTGAATGTATAAGAAAAGACAAAATATCCTTTTTTTCTATATATTTTATACTGATCCAGTCTTCTTAGTAGTTATAGGTCTATTCAGATTTTTCTATTTCTTTGTGATTTAGTCTCCATAGGTTTTGAGTTTCTAGGAATTTGTGTCATTTAGGTTATCCAATTTGCTGGCATACAATTATTTATAGTACTCTCATAATCTTTTTTTTATTTCTGTAGAACCAATAATAATGTCCCTACTTTCATTTTCATTTTAGTAATTTGAATCTTCTTTTTCTTCTTTATTCATCTTACTAAAGTTTGTCAATTTTGTTGTGTTATTCAAAAAACCAACTTTTGGTTTCATTGACTTTCTCCATTTTTTTTTTGTTTCTATTTTGTTCATTTTTTTGTTTCTATTATTTCCTTTCTTCTAGTAGTTTTGCATTTAGTTTATTCTTCAAGTTTCTCCAGCTATTAAGCTGTTGATTTGAGACCTTTCTTGGCTCTTGATGTAAGCATTTATGATTGTGAATTTCTCCCTTAGCACTGCTTTCACTATGTGCCATGAGTTTTGGTGCTGTGTTTTCATTTTCACTTATCGTTAAGTTTACCTAATTTTCCTGTGATTTCTTCTTTGATCCAGTGGTTGTATAAGACTGTTTAATTTCCTCAAATTTGTGAATTTCTCCTGCTGTTGTTGTTTTCTAACTATAATTCATTGGGGTTGGAGAATATTCTTTGCATGCTATTTGTCATTTTAGTCCATTAAGACCTAATTTGTGATCTAGCGTACAGTCTATGAAAATGTCCCATGCACATAGGGAAGAATGTGTATTCTGTTATTGGGTAGACTGTAATGCATGTCTAGTGGATCGAGTTGGTGTATCGTGTTGTTTAAGTCTTCTATTGCCCTATTCCATCTAGTTGTACTGTTCATTATTGAAGTCTCCAGCTATTGTGGAATTGACTACTTCTCCTTTCAACTCTGTCTGGTTTTACTTCCAACATTTGATTGTCTTATACAGGTGTGTAAATATTTATCATTGTTATATCTTGCTGTATTAAACTTCTGATCAATACATACTATCTTTTATCTTGTAAACTTTTTGATATAAAGTCTATTTTTTTCTGATATTAGTATAACCACCCTTGCTCTCTTTTGGTTACTATTAATATTTCCAGGGAATATACTTTTCCATCTTTTCACTTTTAATCTATTCATGTCTTTGGATCTAAAATGACTCTTTTGTAGACTGTTATATAGTCGTATGACATATAACAATGTTTTGGTCAACACCGGACTAAACATATGATGATGGTCTTATAAAATTACAATTTTATATTCAAACATATGTTTAGATTTAAAAATACCTATTATTGTGTTTAGATTAAAAAATACCTGTCATTGTGATAAAATTACCTATGGTATTCAGTACAGTAACATGCTGTACAGGTTTGTAGCCTAGGAGCGATAGGCTATACCTTGTAGCCTAGGTATGTAGTGTACTGTACCATCTAGGTCTGTGTAAGTACACTCTGTGATGCTCACAATGATAAAATACCTAACGATACATTTCTCAGGACATATCCTGGTTGTTAAGCAGTACATGAATGTAGTCGGGTCATGTTTTTTATCCATTCTGCTAATCTTCATCTTTTGATTGGAGAGTTTAATTCATTTATGTTAAGTAATTACTGATAAGGAGGAACTTGCCTCTGTCATTTTGCTATTTGTTTTCTATATATTTCATAGATTGTTGCCTTTCATTTCCTACAATACTGTCTTCATTTTGTTTAGTTGATTGTTTCTAGTGAAACATTTATATTGCTTTCTCATATTTTTATGTGTATATTCTATATCTACTTTCTTTGTGGTTACATTGGGGAGTACAGTTAACATTCTAAAGTTATAATAATATTATTTGAATTTACACCAGCTTAACTTCAATAACATATTGAAGTTATAGTCTTTTAGAGCTACTTTAGAGCTGGGTCTATTCTATTTTTGGTTGTTGATGTTACAAAATTACATCTATATTCATGGTGTATCCTAAGTATTCATAACATATAAACACATAAAATTGGAAAAGTTATTTTGCCGTTGAGTAATCTTCCTGTCATAACTCTGAAAGTACTGAAATTTACTATTAAGAATTCCTGCTTGATAATTAAACCATGGAGTCTATCTGGATCTATTTTGACTATAAAGACACACAGTATTTGAAAATAGCAGATAAGCCCCACACACAGATAAGATTCATTTTCATTTCTCTCTAATGATTTTAAAGTTCAGAAAAAGAGAAATTTGTGCATAAATTATAGTGTATTTTAAGCTAATATATTGTACAGACTTTATATAAAGTTTACTATTTTGCTGTATAACAAGTGTTAATATTTTAATTCTATAATAACTGAAAAAAATTCTTATATTAAATTACCTTTGAACTACAGACTTAAAATTATTGACTACATGAAGCTTCCACTATTTTCAGCACATTTTTGGGAAATTAATTTCATCATTATGAAGAATCCAATGGGGAAAAAAAATCAATGGAATCACCATGCTTATAGATTATTTTGAGTTTTTTGAAAAAAATTATTTTTGTAAAGAAAGTTACTTAGCTGAGTAAGTAGTATTCAGGAAGTATTGACAGTGTGTGTATGACTCTTGAAAATTAATCAGCATGCAGAAACTATTGTTTTCACTAATATCTGTGTATTCCATATATTTCTCAGCCACCTTTGCAGTTATATTAGTCATGTGATTGAGTTCTGGAGCTAGAAAAACACTTGAGAGACAGCAGGTAAAAGAGATATGGCTTTATTCAGCAGCTATCTCATTAGCAACTGTCTTACACTGTCTGCTCTGTCTGGACTCTGCTTAAGCTGGCTGCGCCCACACATAGCTGCATGGCCGTCTTTCCCTTGCCTTCAGGGTCAGCAGCTTAAACGCTTTTTCTCTCTGGGCATGGGTGAGCTTAGCTGTGTCCTGGCTCCCCCTTGTCTGTCTCCAAGATGGACAGCTCTGACTCTCTGTTTCTCTGGGTGCAAGCATGCCTGTACAGTGTCAGCAGGGCAATTATACCTTTTACAGACAATAGTGGCTTAGAGCCAAGTGATGGCCTTCCCATGTTATGACTACACGGCTGTGATAACAAGTGGAGTTATACCCCTGCATTTTAAACTCGCTGAGCCACTCTGGATGTTTACCTTGGTGTACTTTTGACCAAAGCATAGCCGTGATCCATACAGAGACACAAGCAGGTTCATGCTGATTTAAGTGAGGCAGAAGGAGTGGGTTAAACTATAATGATGACTAGGGAATGGGACTGGAGGGAAAGTTCCTATCCATGGGCTGGCAATATGCAAGCTTTGAATTTTCCACCTAGGCCAAAGGAGGAGGCACACACAGGCTTTTTTATCAGCTTGTTCAGGTGTGGGGCCAAATGGGACAGGGGAGGTGAGACTAAAATAAGTTAAAAGTCAAACATAAAAAAATGAAGACAGGGTTTCTCCTAACTACCTTCTGCACTTCAGGAGCACAGAGGAGAGACCGCAGGAGTTGGTGCTGTGACCTCTCAACACAGAACACAGCTGGCTACAGCTGATCCCTCTAAGAGAATGCACGACCAGCTCTGAGAATGGTAGAAGACGTAAAGATGGAAGCTAACTGCTTTTGCTCAAACCGTGCTGACAGGAAAAAAGGAAGTCCCTCTTTTCTTTTCTGCTTTCCAAAATCTTTTTAGTGACAAACACCTATTAGCAGAAATTAATGGATGTCTCAGAAATGTACACCTGTGCTCCAGGTATACAACTAGCACTACAGAAAACACTATGGAAGCATGGATTTGCAGCAAAGTCAATGGGGGAACAACTGATACGCTCCTTACCTCTGTTATCTCAGCATCTGTGCACATCTCCTTTATTTTTTTATTTCCGTAGCAGCAATCTCATGCTTCTGCATTTATTCAAACAAAATATGTTCACTCTCTCCCCAAAAAGGGGAAATACAGACACGAATGTTAACGTCACCTTCTTGATCTAACTGTTAGCTTAGTCTGGTAATACCCTGCAACTTAGCAACAAAGTAAAAACACTAATCATCAGCACTAATCCTCATCTAAATTAGTAACATGAAGAACAAAGAGGGAAAAATACTGTGTGCAAAGTTGCTAGTCCTTGTTTCTGTAACTAGTCAGAAGAAACTTTCTTTCTTTCTTTCTTTTCTCTCTCTCTCTTTCTTTTCTTTTCTTTTCCTTCCTTCCTTCCTTCCTTCCTTCCTTCCTTCCTTCCTTCCTTCCTTCCTTCCTTCCTTCCTTCCTTCCTTCCTTCCTTTTTCTTTCTTTTTGTTTAGGCGACTCTCACTGTTTCCCAGGCTGGAGTGCAGTGGTGCCATCTTGGCTCACTGCAGCCTCCACCTCCTAGGTTCCAGCAATTTTCCTGCCTCAGCCTCCTGGGTAGCTGGGATTACAGGCACATGCTACCACGCCCAGCTAATTTTTGTGTTTTTAGTAGAGACAGGGTTTCACCACGTTGGCCAGACAGGTCTCAAACTGCTGACTTCAGGTGATCCGCCAGCCTCAGCCTCCCAAAGTGCTAGGATTACAAAACGTAAGCCACTGTGCCTGGCCAAGAAATGTGATAATTATAACTTCTCCAATTATCCATGGCATGTTCCTTTTACCTCAACCAGTGTCTCCTATCATAGTTATTAACCTGGTAGAATAACATCAAATATTTATTTCTGAAAATCTAACGACTCAGCAATTTTGTCTTGACTGGACGTCTGTTATTTTTCCTTAATTTTTACTGTGTACTACATACATACTAAAAGGTAACTCAGAGAATCCACTTATTATCCTCTCAGTGCCCATTATGTAGCAGGAGCCTAATATTTCCCTGAAAATCAGAGTCAATCACTTCAGCCAATAAAGTATCCCCTTCTTTGACGGTTAATTCATTAAAAATTTGTGAAAAACCCAACATAGCTACACGGTAGTCTCAACATCTAATCTAATGTAACAGGGGTTGTGTCTCCTGGCAGAATCATTTCTTAGTTTTTTGGGGGATCTGAGGTTCCTAAGTCAGCAGAGTCCAAAATCTCAGGGATGGAAAGCAAACTTTTGTAAAGGATAATTAGATTTAATAGTAAGAGAAGCCTCTTTTATTTCTGCCTCTTGATTCACAGAGCCATGAGTTCTGGCTTTGGAAGAAATAGCACCCTATGTGTCCCAAACATATACTGTAGGCTATAACAGAGAATCTAACTCAGTGACATAGAGGGAAAGACCTGTGAATGCCATTCTGCCATGCTTTTTTTGTCATTGGTGTTGAGTGAGACTTCAAGGTAATACATTTTGGTGTGTTATAAATCCATGAATGGTGGTGCTGGCCAAAGCATTGCTGACAAGTGAAGCAAATTCATATCCAGAACAAATGTGCATTTCTGTGAGTTCAAATCGCTGACCTCTCTGTGGAGGAGAAACTAGATGAAAAGAGCGTGGGTCCTTGAGTTTTTCCTATAGAGGTGAGATGCTAGGAGAGCCGCTGAGCCCAGAGCATCTATTTTGGACTTTGTGTTTGAGAAATTGACATTTATTACATTAAGCCACTGAGATGTTGGTGGTGTTTATAACAATTTTTAGCCTAGTCTGACTATTTCAAGCAGGAAATTTGAAACTTCCCTTCAATACAAAATTAAAGAATTCTGAAGATCTATGAAAGAATTAAAGAGTTAACAGTTTTATACACAAAATCTTCATTTCTTTAACATGTAATATTTAAAATGCATATATCTTCATGTTAGATCTATGCATTGAATGTCCTGTTTTTCATTAATTAATTTACTTTTTAAAATAGAGATAAGGTCTCACTATGTTGCCCAGGCCGGCCTTGATACTGGGCTCAGGCAATCTTCCCACCTCAGCCTCCCAAAGTGCTGGGATTACAGGCAATAGCTACCATCTTGTCTGAGCAAATTTTATATGTTCATTCAGAAATTAACTTCCAGGTATGAAATAATGAAGATAATTTTAAATTTTTATTACTAAAATTGCTGTTGGTATGATTGATTGATAGATGTATTTTTTAATTTCAAGAAACTCAAAGAATATCTCCCTCTCTGTCTAAAAGATATGTTTAAAATTTTAAAAATTAGAGAACTAGTCATGAAATCAAAATGTTAATTACTCAAAAAATTAAAAGTGAAGTGTTTTTTGCCTCCATTCCTCATTTTTTCTTATGTGGAATGTAATTTTCTTCTTTCTGCATTATGTTTCTGATCTTCCTAAATGGTTTATGTACTAAAGGGATGAACTGTGTGATTGCCAATTTTCTTTTTCATCATGTTCCAAAGCTTTTAAAATATGATCACATCTTGAAAATCTATTTTTTACAGAAATTACTGATAAAGGCCAGACTATAAGGTGGAAAAGAGACTTGAGAATTTCTCTCTCCCTGCTGTGTCAATATACCAAATGAACCGGGAAAAAATATTAAATGGTATGTGCAGCCCAAGCTCTGTTTATTGAATGGATGGCTTAGCATGAATATCTGTGAGAATTTTTCATACTAAAGGGTATCTTAAACAACTATGGCAAAGCATTCCTAAATATGATTTAGAATCCACTTTGATACAGAAATACAATGATTGGCTAATAATTAAAAAGAAACATGACTACTAGAATACAGAATGGTTTTAATAACTGTCTTAGTCTGCTTTGTATGGATATTAGGCAATTCATAAAGAATATAAATTTATTTCTTACAATTCTGGAATCAGGGAAGTCCACAATTGAGGGGCCACATGTGGTTAGCTTCTGGTGAGGCCTCGTGCTGTATGATACCACGGTGGGAGGCATCACAGAGCAGGAGGGACACATGTGAGAGAGCCACACTGGGTTTTAAACAGACCCACTTCTTTAATAACACATGAAATCTGGTAAACCATTAATCCACTTATGGGACCCAAGTCCTCATGACCCAATCATTTCTTAAAGGCATTACATCTTAATGCTTTAACATTGGAGATTAAATTTCAGCATGAGTTTCAGAGGGGACAAACATTCAAACCATAGAAATGACTTATTAAGCCACGTATAAACAAAGACAAATAATCCATTCCAAATATTACATAATTTTTTTCAACTTTCTTCATATAGTGTGTATTGGAGGTTTCTTCAGTTCACCACTTTCTTGATTTTCTATATTAAATATAAAGTTGTATCTATTCATATAACTTTCATCTTTTCCATCCTGACATTCCAGTCTGTGCAATGTATATCTGTTACATTTATTTTCCTCTGCAATATGTCCTCGAATTTGGGGAAATGGTTTTCTCTACCCCATATGAATGTGATGAGACTATCTAAAAAAGGGCCCTATTCTCCATCACCACAGAGGCAAATTCATGATCTCAAAGCCCCAATACTGTGTGTGTGTATGCGTGCGTGTGTGTGTGTGTGTGTGTGTGTGTGTGTGTGTGTGTGTGGTTGTTGTTGTCATTGAGACGGTCTCGCTCTGTCACCCAGGCTGGAGTGCAATGGTCCAATATCAGCTCACTGCAACCTCCGCCTCCCAGGATCAAGCCATTCTCCTGCCTCAGCCACCCAAGTGGCTGGGATTATAGGCTCCTGCCACCACGCCCAGCTAATTTTTGTGTTTTTAGTAGAGACAGGGTTTCACCATGTTGATCAGGCTGATCTTGAACTCCCGACCTCAAATGATCCACCCACCTCGCCCTCCCAAAGTGCTGGGATTACAGACATGAGCCACTGCACCCACCCCAATACTATATTTAGGGGAAAGAGAGTTGCTATTATTTATAATGCTGTAAAGGCTCTAGGCCTAGAGCTGTTGACAGCTTCCTTACTTCATGTAGAGTCTCTTGAGGAAAGCAGAGTTGAGACAAAAAGTGTTCTGATGACACGGTATTAGCCACCACTTGTGTCTACTCCCTTAGATCTCTCAGGTAAGTGAATCATATACATTCTATTTTTCCTAAGTTGATTTCCATCTTTTGCAACCAAAGGTTCTGAAATTAAAGCCCTCATGTACCAGCTTTCACTGTTTATCTTGATGAGATGTCTTTTAAATTAATTTTATAATATTAAAAAATATGATAAAGGAATCACAAAAATAGATGTGGCAATTAGCAAAACAAAAAAAAAATCATGCACAGTGTTCTTATAAAAGTCTAAGATAAAAACTATTTTTATTAATCCCAAAATAGGAAAAGGTGAGGCCAACTTATTGATTGGTATTACAAAGCAATGTTGGCTGTGCTCACCCATACTGGGCATCATAGCTTTCAGGCCCCTGCAGTGTACAGAGCACTGATTTCTAATCCAGTACCACATGATTTATTCTAGCCTTCCTCCCATGCCTGTCTTCTGTCACCTCCCACCCCAACACCCCCATCTGCTCTGGGTACAGCATTCCAGACTATTTTCTATAAGCCTCCCTCCCTTATTGACTATGGATTCCCCCAACCCTTGCCCTCCAGATAAGACAGGCAGGATAGATAGGGCCAGATTGGGGAAGAATTGCCCTTTGTCATGTTGAAATTCTGTGAGGGCTTCACAATGAATACTCTTTCTTTATCCCTGGCAATTCCATGAAGGGTCTTTCTCAAAGACACCCTGTAAAAATCTGGTGGTTCTCTTGAGGAAAAGTCTCTTATGACTGTGACTCTGAAAAGCCCTTCACTGTTATGCCGGCATGCACTAAGCCTCCAGCAATTCATTAAAAATGTTATCTAAATATTTTTACTCCTGCTTTGGAGTCCAATGGTTTCTGCTTCAGAGAAACAGATCTTGGTTGGTTTATCTCTCTGGATGTACCTGACTCTAAAGTTTACAAGGTAGTGGTTTGCCTTGCGCCCTCCTTCATTCTCTGATGGATCTAACTCCATAACACACATTTTTTTAATTATTATTTTTTTAAAAATTATAGTATTAAAAATATAATTACAAAAGTAATTCATTTGCAATAAAGATATTTAGAGTACACAGAAACAAAAAGAAAACTAAAAATTGACCATAATTTCAGCAAGTAGATATGATGACATATATTTTGACATCTATCCTTCCCTGAGTTTTTCAAAAATATTGAAAGCATTAATTCACTTGTGTATCATTAAGAGATGCTTCTAATTTTCCATTGGCTGATGCAAATGTAGAAAAATGTTCTTAGAGCAGATGAGTTTATTCCTGCACAGACCCATTTGGTTGTGCACATTGGTTACAGTGGCTGAGCCTGGGAGTATCATCTGGAATCTTGAGTATGGTGCCCTTCTGAAACCTGTGCTGGAGCCTGGGTAACTGAGGGCAGTGAGAGAGGGCAGGGATGCTTCAGTCTAGGCAAGATGAAGTTTACATAGCAAGTCTAAGTGGCAGCAGTGGGAACAATGGCAAGCCTAATGTAAGCCCTCATAGGGGACTGGTCTTTCTCTGTGTAAGGTTTTGTACAGTGCATAAAGAAATGAGCCTTCAGAAGCAGATCTTGGACTTCCTGATAATATGAACATTGGAATTCCCAGCAACTAAATAAAAAGAATAGCTCTGTTATCAATTGTTCTTCTAAGATCAAATGGGTCACATTTATAGTCAGATGCTTTTTTTACAAAGTTTACTCCTGTTTTTATTTATTAACATTTCTAAAGACTTTTGAAAATTTAAAGCCAAGCCAACACTAATGCAAGCTTCTCTTACTGATATGGTTTGGCCGAGTCCTCATCCAAAGTTCATCTCAAATTGTAATCCTCATAATCCCAATGTATGGAAGAAGTGACGTGGTAGGAGGGGATTGAATCACGGAAGAGGTCTGTGATTCCTCCCATGCTATTCTTATGATAGTGAAAGAGTTCTCACAAGATCTGATAGTTTTATAAATGGCAGTTTTCCCTGGGCTTTCTGTCTTTCCTGCTGCCTTGTGAAGAAGGTCCATGCTTCTCCTTTGCCTTCCATCATAATTGTAAGTTTCCTGAGGCCTCTTCAGCCATGCAGAACTATGAGTCAATTAAACTTCTTTCCTTTATAAATTATCCAGTCTGAGGTAGTGTTTTTATAGCAGTGTGAAAATGGACTAATCCACTTACTTTGAGAAATTCATGCAAAAGTTTAAAAATTGCAAGTAGTTAAGAAGACCTCAAGACCTAGAGTTTCAGGTTTGATGTTCCTAGAATGAAGTAATCACAGGAAGCACCAGGAAGGGAATGGAGAAATAAGAAAATAAAGTATAGGATGCCAAAACAAGTGTGTTGATACGAAGGTTGCTTCATTGAGCAACTGGTGCTTAGCTCCACTGAGACTATAGGGGGGTTACTCCCTGGTCCTCCTAACCTACCCTGCGAATAGGTTGAGAACACTCCTATGATCAGAGAAAGGCTAAAGTTGCAAGAACTTGCAGTAAAAAGGTATCAAAATGAAACCAAAAGGTAAGTACTTGCAGAGGGGATGTGCTTGAGGCACCAAGAGCACCTGCTATACCCAGGATGTTGTTTTCCAGCCCAAGTTATACTAGAAGGCTCTGAATGGGAGGTTCTTGAGCCTAGCTTATCTACCAAAAGGTGCTTTTTAAAATTTCCATTTGGCTATGTTTTCTTTGCTTATAGTTGCCTTCACTGGAAGGGCTGATGGCTAGCCAACTCTATGCGTGGATTGCTCTTGCTTAGAGGCAAAATTCTTTTCAAGTGTGTAGACAGAGAACATCACTTCCCAAGATAATTTCCTTAATAAGGAAAACTTCAGTCTGGAAATGGAAGCCTTTAGTTTAGGTCATTCCTAGTCAGCAGTGTCTTTTCTCCCTCTCTAGCCCCAAATATCTCTGCATCTGTTGTGGAAGTCTGGAATTGTCTCAAGCTGTTGTATGATCTCTCTTAGGACCCAATATTGTAATTGGGTGCCATTTCCCAGCAAATCTGCCATTCGGAGAGCCTGTTTTCTGGTTTTATCTTGGACAAAAAAGTTCAAATATTTTAATTTAGCCAATTATATAGTATTTGAGTAGTGAAAAGTCATATAATAAAATAAAGCAGGATAAAGGGGAATAAGAGTCTTCTTGGGAACTAATTTAGAGACCTGACATACTCTTGTATGGCCAATGTCAACCTTTCCCTCATGGGTCCACTAGTGTCTGAATGCCAGTCTCTTAACAGGATCCAGAGATTTCTGGTCCTCACTCCCAGGCTCTGTTCCAGAAAAGTCTACTAACAAGGTGAAAGGAATGGGAAAAGTGGAAGAGAAATACATCAGAGAGGTGTTTCTCCACCAGGGTCCTGTATTATTTAGGCTGCAAGGTAGGCTACTATAATAGAGAGACCAAGAAACTTCAACAAAAAGAACTTTATCCTTGTCCATGTCATAGTTGAGAGATAAGCAGGCCGACCTGGCCTTGTAGGCATCTCTGCCGTACTCAACTTATAGCTGTGACATCCCTGTGTAGTTCTGGAAAGATGCTCCAATGATTGCCATCTACCCACCAGTGGAAAGGAGGGCCTATTCCCAATCATTTTTAGTTGTTCAAGTGTCAGAGTGGTACACAGTACTTTTTGTTTTTTTACATCCCTCTAACCAAAACTTTGTGATGTGGTTACTCTTAACTGTAAGATTTAGATATCTGGAGATTATAAACTTTAGCTGGGAAGATATCTGATTCCTTTCTACTCTATTATATAGAAAGAAGAGAATAGATAGTAACAGACAACTACCAATTAGCTACAAATCTCCACAGAGCCAAAGGCTTTATCAGCACTCACTTGCTGTTAATATCAGTTGCTTCAGACCTGAAGTGTAAGAAGTGGAAGGAGAGAAAATGGCAGCTAAGTCATTACGTTGCTTACATTTTCTGTTTATCTCTACTCTAGGTATTTTATAAAATAAACAAAAAGCATCCTAAAGATTTTTAGGAGTAGGAATACTCTATATTGCAACTATTTAAAATTATTGATATTAGTAGTATCAATATTGTGGTAGATTAAATTGTTGTCCACAGATATTTATTTCCTCCTCCCTGAAGAAGGAATATACATCCATGTCAATGGCTAGGTGAGTTACAGTGCCTCCCCAAGTGAACAGTGTACACACCTGTACCATTCATGCTGTACCCAGTCATGTGGCATGCATACAATATATGCCACAACCAAGCAAGAGTTTTGGGAACCATGCAATAACATCATGTCCCAAATAGGGGCTCAGCCCAACATTCTACTCACAGTGATCCTCAGTTGACACGAAATGCAAGTAACTCATAAACATTTGTTTTTCTTAAGCTACTGAAATTGTGGAATTATCCTTTACCTCAAATGCAGTTCAACTAATATGATCATTCTTATTGTATATGAATCTGAAATTTAAGAATAATGTATGGGAATGAGTGAGATTGGCTAGGGAGGGGATGTAGTGGAATGAGAAAAAAGGAGCATCAACCATCACCAACATTTAAGGAATGCAGAGAGGAATTAGATGCTACAAAGGACACTGAGAAAGAGTGGACTGAGATGTAGGAGAAGGATCGAATAAAAACCAGTCTTTTCCATGGAAGCTGATTAATAAGGCTTTCATCAGAAAAACATAAACACTTCTAATTATTTCAATCAGAAAAAGATTGATTATAACTTAGAAATTTAGACAATTGCTGTTAATAATCACAGCTGAAAAAAAAATAATAATCACAGCTGACTGCATGTTTGCAGAAGCCTTTGCTGGTGCCCATTGATTCCAGAAAGGTAACTGATTTTTGCTTCCTTTCTGTCTTTCAAATCTTGAGCAAGTTGTCCCTGTTAGAATGTAAATTACTGCAAAATTCTGGTGGGAAAGGAGTTTGAAAATTTTAATTCTTGGTGTTTCTAGCTCCAGCAATAGTCAGAAGAGAATAGAAAGGAGTGGGGATATTTACTGACAAAAAAAAAAAAAAAAGAATAAAACTAACAAAACAAAACAATATCTAGTACAAAAGCCAATGGAGGAAAGGATTTCAAAAAACTAAGAAAAGTGCCAGTGATGACAAGTGACTTAGAGAGGCTAATACTGTATAAACTCGAAGATAGCCATTGGAATTACGAACTAGGGGGATTCATTATTTTGGAAAGTTATATATGAAAGTCTTATTTGAATGACTTTAGATGAACATGAGAAACAAACAAAACATAGACCACTCTTTCAAGATAGAAATAAGAATAAGAAGAGAAAAAAAGGGATGGCAAAATAAAGAAAAGATATGCTGCAGGATGAAGAAAAAATAATTTTAAAGTGATAGAGACTCACGTTTCAGGTAGAAAGGAAGTAGTATAGAGAAAGAAGGACTGAAGTTATCAACAGGAATAAAATTAATGTTGCAAGTTCCAGAAGAAAATGCATGTCTATAGAAATCAGATTACAAATAGGAGGCTAACCTGTAAGAGGAGGGATGCCAACATCCTCTAAGTCTTAATTAAGGAAAAGAGATGAAGATGGGCATAATTGTAGATATCTTTGCAGCTATGACAAGAAAATATAATGTAAGGAATTTATGCACAAATGATGTCTCTTTTTCTCATAAAAATGAGCAGAGTTATCTGCTTATCAAATGAACAAAAATAAAAATCAATAGTTCGCAGTGGTGGTGAAGGTATCTTAAAATAGAATCTTACACATCGTTGTTGAGAATCTAAATCATCTAGTTTTCTGGTAGTAACATGGCAATTTGGATCCAGAAGTTTATGCAAACACTTAACTATAACTGGGCCTATATGTCAATTTTTCTCTGCATATGCATTGATGACAGCTGCAGCATAGTCTTGCTAAGCCAAAACCCCAGCAAATTTAGGTGCCAAAGCATTGGTAAAAAAAAATGCACCGAGGAGAATTACATTAAACTCACAAAGCAAAACTTTCTGTAAAGTTTTTGGCTTAGGGAAGGCAAGAAAAACTCTTAAATGAATATTTGGATTCCCCTTAGAATTGTTATAAACCTTATAAATATACAAATATACAAAAAGGAAAGTTTGAGTGAAATAACATAGTGCTTGTTTCCACCTCCTCATATCATCCTTGAGTACTCAATAGACTCAAGTTCAAAAGATGGTACATCATCACCAGGTGCCAAAGGCATCTTCTCTCTAGGTTAAGAGGCAGACAGTTATGAATGCTAGAACTTGATGGACAGCGTACCTAGGACATGCAGACAGTGGGCTGAGAACTTCTTCCTGATCACCAAACTAGCCTACAGCTCTACTTATAGGACAAACGTTAAGTGTGGGACAGATTTTTTTAAAGCAGAAATAATAAAAGTGTATGCTGATTGCACATCAGGAACTATTCCAACTACCTTACATCTGTTAACTCACTTATTTCTAAAAATAACCCTTCTGAGATATTTATATTGTCATCTGCATTTTACAGATGGTGCAACTGATCCACAGAGAAGTTAATTAACTTGCCCAAGGTTGTGCAGCTAAGGAATGGCTTTAAAAAGCAAAAGAATTTTTTTTTATTATGAAATGAGAAAAAAAAAGACACAGTATGGTGAGGTCCTACGTACAATTTAGTCTACATAAGAAGGTAGGGGGATCAAATGCAGTATGCATTCATTGAATAAACAGCAGTATATATTGTTGGTCTTTCCTCAGTGCTATGTTAATTCTCCTGTCCGTTGTCATTGTGGTATAAAAGAAACTTGATCATGTGGACGTATTACAGAATAATGTATCTGTACACCAGATTTATGACATCTTATTAATTGAACCTGATGAGCAAGAAATTGAAAACACTCTGGGTGCCTTGCTAAGATATATGTTTAAAGAGATGGGAGATAAGCCCTATAAAGTCTCAAGGAAATACTTTGCTGAAGTTTTTAGTGATCTAGCCATCTAGGGCATCTCTTCCAAGGTGAAGAACAATTTATTGCACTACCCACCAATATGGATAAGTACTAATCTTGGTAAGTTCGTTTGGATTTTAGAAGTAGCATATTTTGGACCTGAAATGCTGCCCAAAACCTTCTGTTGGATGGTTTGGGAGTCTACTAGTTTTGAGTGCAAACTCAGAACAAGTAAAGGCTCTGACTGTGGGCTCTGACATATTCTGACTGTGGTGTAGGTAGAACTGCTTGGATCATCTACCCGGCATATGCAAAGGCACTAAAGAAAGATGCTCTCTCAAACCTCTAGCAAAAGTGAAAAGCAGAGTCAAAGTTTACACTCTTACATTCCAGAGCAAGGGCATGTTATTTGTACTGGTTACCAGTTTATTTATTTTTTAGCTCCAAATTTATATATTTGCCTGCTCTGTAGTAATGGAGCTAAGTCCTTTAAATATTGAACTATGTTCCTTTGGGAGATGGGCGTGGTGGCTCACACCTGTAATCCCAGCACTTTGGGAGGCTGAGGCTGGCAGATCATCTGAGGTCTGGAGTTTGAGACCAGCCTGGCCAGCATGGTGAAATCCTGTCTCTACTAAAAATACAAAAACTTAGCTAGGCATGGTAGTGCGTGCCTGTAATCTCAGCTACTTGGGAGGCTGAAGCGGGAGAATCACTTGTACCCAGGCAGCGGAGGTTGCAGTAAGCTGAGATGGCGCCACTGAACTTCAGCCTGGGTGACAGAGCAAAACTCCGCACCACCCCCCACCAAAAAAATAGGTAGAGGTGTGTGTGTGTGTGTGTGTGTGTGTGTGTGTGTGTGTGTGTTTATACTTAGATACATACATACATACATACATACATACATACATATATTTTCCTTTTGGAAGCTGGCACTGATTTCTTAGCTGAGGGCATTGAGAGACATTGCAAGGACAAAATGGTTTTGCTTCCTATTTCCCAGTGCGTGGTTGGTTTCCAAGCGGTCCTGCAGCTCACGTAACTTCCCCTGTACTACTGCAGCATATAAGGCTTCTCTAGTACCAAGCTCTTGCAACACTTGTAATTTCTCTAGTGCTGGGCTCCTTCAGTGTGCATTGGCCATCATCACCCAGTGTCAGCAGCTCCCTGCAAAGCCTCTCATGGGGGAGTTTGTGGTGAATTGCCTTCATTAAGACACCTTTCTATTCTGTGCCTTGAGTAATAAAGTTATTTGTCTTTGACTCTAGCATCTAATGTTTTCTGCCAGCATCTGCAAATCCATTACAGACTAACTGGTTAGTTGTCAAGGAGGACAAATAACAGACCCTTCTCAGTTCCTGACATAAGGTCTAGGAATAGTTTTAGCATTTATTATTTAATTAAGGGTTGCAATGTGGTGATGTTTCAATTCTAATATTACTCCTGAGTTTGCTAGTTGTTATTCTTCTCTAAAGAAGACATTGCATACCTTTTTATGGTATTCTGAAATCTCTGGGTGCAGGGTGAGACTCTTCTGGGTGTTTAATCTCAGCCCTAGGAATAATGAATGTTCCTTATATTTGCTCATCCTATATTCTGTTAAATGTTCTTCTTACTATCTAATCTCTTTATGTTCTAATCCCCTATTGTTGCCAATTTTTGTATTAAACTTTTCGTGTTCAAATTACTCTATTGTTTCTCTTTTGATAGGACTCAGACTGATAAACCATTTGCACGAGAGAACTACACACCATTTGAAAAACAGCTTTTTTGCAAGGTGCCCTGGCTCACTCCTGTAATCCTGGCAACTTGGAAGGCTGAGGCAGCAGGATTACTTGGGGCCAGGAGGTGAAGACCAGCCTTAGGCAACCTCATCAGGAATCTGTTGTAAAATCGAAGTGTAATGTTAAGTTTTGGGCTCAATTAAGTCCATAGAGCTTAAGTAAGCTGCAGTAAAGATGGCTTAGACCTCCATGTCACCTAAAAATGTTGCATTAACAAGGCTCCCTCAGCCTCATGGGAGGCGTTCTCCATTACCAGCTAACAGAGAAAGAAATTTGAGTTTGATCCATGGATAGATTGTCGTGATACGTGGTTACAGGTGGAAAAGGAACTGCTATGTTACTATATCCCTTACTTGGGAATGTCCCTGGCAGACAGTTGTGAGGGAAATCCCTTAGGCAGAGTATCTATTAGTTCATCTAGTCATTCATTTGTATAGTAAGAAAAGTAGTCCAAAGTAAGGATGTACATGAACTCTTAGGCAATGGTTAATGGTTTAGCTTTCTGGTGAGAAGTCTGGAAGGAGTAAGATTGGAAGACTGGGATCAAGTGGGACTGGGAAAGAAGCATGTATTTAGACTTATGGGAGTAGGCACATGGTGTGAGCATTTTTGTATTGCATGCCAACTTTCCCAACCCACTTTTGTGCCATTTCTCATTACAGCTACCAAATCATCTGTACTGCAAAATCTCTTACATTTTTCACTAGACTGATAATATAAAAGTGATATTAACATGTTTTTCCACACCCATGTTATTGCAATAATCTGGCGGTAGATCCAGACTTGATTAGATTCAGCTTTGTAATTTTTTTTGGCAGTAACATACCATAAGGAGGTGATATAATCTGAACTTCCTATTGCATCTCACCAGGAAGAATATAATATATTGTCTTATTTTTATTTAGGTTAAGATGATTCAACTGTTGTCATCTATCCATTAAAATTTCTTTCCCATCAATCTTCCATCTAATAGTTTTAGCATTTAGTATTTACTTAAGGATTGCAAAGTGGCGATGTTTTAATTCTAATATTACTGCTGAGTTTGCTAGTTGTTATTCTTTTCTAAAGAGGGCATTCCGTACCTTTTTGTGGTATTCTGAAATATAGTCTGAACAGGAAAGGCAGAATAAACGTTATCTTTTCTTCTTTTATTATCATAATAATGAGTCCTTGTCTTAGTAGTCATCCATGCTAACGTGTGAATTTCCTTTTGAATATCGTTATGAAGTTAAGAAGTTTGTTTATGAATATCATGACAACATATATCTATATCTGTATATCTATATGGAGATATATATTTTGATCTATTGTTGTCATCTTTTTATTAAACTATTTGTTCCATGTTTGGCAAATGATGCTAGAAAATAAATTTTTTTTTAGAAATAAATACATTAAAAATCTTAAGTTTTGATTTATTTAATAATTTATTTGATTTCACATTTGTATCTCTTTTCTGTTTCTTTGAAAATCTTTATTTTCTGATGACACAAGTATATAATTCATTTACTTTATTCTATGATAAGTATGTGTGTATATGTGGTATATAATAATGTATATGAAATTTTCAAAATAATGTAAACTAAAAATCCTAAGCCATCACCAACTAAATGGATCCCTTTTTGGCCAAGAGGACCCCAGAAAAACCTTAAAAACTGAATTCCTGGCTAAGACAGGAAAAGAGGTCAAGACATGTGTGATTATACCCCCTCCCTTTTGGAATTTAGGCACAACCGCCAACCATCGCTAATGTTAAAACAGAGACCATAAGACTAACAAAATGGACTTTTTGTGACATTAAGATACCCAACTGTAAACAACCTGAGGCCATGCCTTACCCAGTCTGTTGGTTAATACACTTTCTTATCATAAAAATTCCTTTCTGCTAACTCCAAATTTTTAGACAAAGCTTTACTTCTTTACTCAATTGAAAATTGAAGAATTTCTGAATCTATCTATAACCTGTAAGCCCCTGCTTCAACATATCCTACTTTTTTGGACCAAACAATGTATGCCTTCCATGTATTGATTTATGTCTTTGTCTGCAATTCCTGTTTCCCTGAAATGTATAAAACCAAACTGTAACCCAACCACATAAGCTACCTTTTCTCACAGCCTCTTGAAACTGGGCTTCAAGAGGTCATGGTCTCTCATACCAGCTTAGAATAAACCTCTCTAAAATATTTTACAGAGGTTGATTTTTTCATTAACAATAATAATACCAACATATCAAATACTGAAATAACAACACCCACATTACTACTAGCGTAATGCCACTGAATACAATTTCAGAGTTTTTTCAGTTAGTTTTTCTTAGAATACAAGGATGTAGAGTCAGAATATTATGTTTTGGGATGCTGAGTCAAAATAACATGTTTGAAAGGTATTTGAAATAATACTTGTCCAACCAATTATGGTACAAACCAACATATACTTAGGTTTATTTTATTTATTTATTTAAGATGGAGTCTTACTCTGTCGCTCAGGCTGGAGTGCAGTGGGCTATATCGGCTCACTGCAGTCTCCCCCGCCCCTGGGTTCAGGTGATTCTCCTGCTTCAGCCTCCCTAGTAGCTGGGATTACAGGCGTGAGCCACCACGCCTGGCTAACTTTTGTATTTCCAGTAGAAATGGGGTTTCCCTGTGTTGGCCAGGCTAGTCTCAAATTCCTGAACTCAAGTGATCCGCCCACCTCGTTCTCCCAAAGTGCTGGGATTACAGGCATGAGCCACCACACCCTGCCTACTTAGGTTTGTTTCAGTTTGTTTTCAATTTTTTGGGATGGTTTGTTCTGTCATCCTTGGGACTTACCATTTTTTTGAAAATATGTATGACATTTACATGATTCTGAATTCAAAACTAGCTTCCACACAGGGTTGTTTTTCTTATTCTCTCTTTTCCTTTATAGGTAAACCATTTTTATTCATTGTTTTACTTTCCATTATTTTGTATCTGAACCCAGGTGGTATGGTGCTGGAGTCTATGGTCTTAAAATGTTAGACTTAAACTGCTCCATTAGAAATTATCAAACCTTTTTTCTTTTTTGTGGGGGACAGAGTCTCTCTCTGTCACTCAGGCTGGAGTCCAATGGTATGTAACTGGATTTGCAGCTTGGGTCCAGGCTCAGGTTCTTGGCTTTCCTTGCTGGAAGAATCAAGCAGAGAGTCTCATCCGCACAGTGAGTGTTCCAGCACCAAACAAGTGTTCGCAGACCTAGAGAGTGAGCAGCAATGCAGTTTACTGAGCCCGCGAAAGTAAAAGGGTCCACAGCACAGAAGGGTGGAAGGGGACCCGAGAGGGTTGCCGTTAGTCAGGGCTGTCTGGGCTTATATCCCCAAGTAATTCTGAGTTGCCAACTGTTTGCCCCCTAGTCCTGTGTGGGGAGGGGGCTTGTGACTATGAGTCACCTAATTTCTTCTTCTGGTGGTTGTTTTCTAGTTTCTATTGAACTTGCAAGCAGTGTTGGAATATAGTTGAACATCTAACTGAAACTTTGAACATAGCCTCCTGATATGATTGAAGTACCCATGCTGACCTTTTCCCATCCTAGGATTTCTAAAAGGTTCCCCATTGACCCCAAAGGTTTGGGGGTTGTTGGCCCGGCTGCTCTCGAACTCCTGACCTCAAGTGAGCTGCCAGCCTGAGCCTCCCAAAGTGCAGGGATTACATGCGTGAGCCACCATGCCTAGCCTATCAACCCCTTTTTTAACAGGAAAGTGTGTGTTGTTGAAAATTGCGTATACATGTATCTAGTTCTCCTTAAGATCTAAACTTGGAAACTGTCATTCCAGGCCTCTCCATAAGTCCCACCCGTCTACCTCCTCCTCCCAAATTCTTCCTACCACGAGGCAGTAGCTAAAAGCCTCTATTATGGCTTTTTGTGTTCCAAAAGCTTATAGCCTTAACCCAGATACCTACTTTATAGATTCATAGTATGCAAGCTTTGTGGATATTCTTTTGAAGTTTGCATTTATGAGGCTTCGTGTACCAGCCTCAGTAAATTTCCATGTGACCTGTCTGAACTTCTTGAAGACAGAGTGTGAACAAACATTACAAGCTTTTTGTGAAAGAGAATGTAGGTTCCATATAAAAGATTTTTCCTAAATCCTATTACATTCCCTTTAAACATCCCTGTTCGTTCTCACAAAATTTCACTACCCTGGTACTATTTACATCTCTTTCCTTTCCTACTTTTGCTCCCACTATTCCCAGCATTTCTAACTTTGGGCTTCTCAAAAAGTTCATTCAGTTCCCATGGCCCACTCAGCATAATAAAAGCCTGAGAGCTGATGGAATAGCTTTAGATAACAAAAGTGCCAAAGCCAGGGTTGTTAGCAACATTTGAACCACCTATTGTCCTTTTTAAATACCCCTGGGAGTTCTCAGTTTATCCAGCTACAGTCAAATTTTTTCATGACACTCAACCTCTTCTCTTGGGAATCTAGCCTAATGGAGTAATTCTAACTGGTACAATGAGTAATGCACAAAAATGTTTATTGTGAAAATTACATAATCATGAAAATTTATTATTACACAAACGTTCAACAAATGGAGGACAGATAAATGGTGATACATGTTTATATTAGACTATTAAGGATTAGTTATACTATAAAGACATTTTAATAACATCTAAAAATTGGGGGCATGTACTGTTAAATGATGAAGTATAAAAACATCTGAACAAAAATGATAAACACATTAATAGTGTTGTAGGGGTAAAGGAAATTTTTCCATCTTCTTTTAAGGTGCATGTTGATGAAAGTGTCAAACTCTGTTAAATTTATTCTGAGCCAGATATGAGGAACCATGGCCCATCACACAGCCCTAGGAGATCTTGAGAACATGTATCCAAGGTGGTTGGTCTTGATTTTATACATTTTACAAACATACAAGACATGAGTTAATACATGTAGGATGTATTATATATTTGTTTGGTTCGGAAAGGTGGGACAACAGAAGGTGGGGGTAGATGGCTGGATGGGGGTGTGTGCAGGTCATAGGTGGATTAAACGATTTTCTGATTGGCAATTGCTTGAAAGAATTTATCTAAAGACCCAGAATAGATAGAAGGGAGTGTTTAAGGTAAGAGATAGTGCAGACCAAGGTTCTTATTATTCAGATGAAATCTCCAGGTCGCAGGCTTCAGAGACAATAGATTGTAAATGTTTCTTATCAGACTTAAAAAGGTGCCAGAATCAGTTAGTTCTCTCCTGGATCAGCACAAGATCTGGAAGAGGAAAGGCTTCTGGACAGAATGTATATTTGTTTCACAAGAGACAGTTTTGCAGGGCCATTTCAAAATGTGTCTAAGAAATACATTTTGGGTAAAATAATTTCTTTCAGGGCCTACTGTCATGTCAGTATCTTATTGCTACAAAGAGTCTGTTACTGTCACTCTTATCATCTCTATTTTAATAGTAATGCTGATCAGCCATGACTGAATTCCAAAGGCAGGAAGATAGAATGAGGCATGTCTGACCGCTTATTACGCTCATGGCCTGAACTAGTGTTTCAGGTTAGCTTTAGAATGCCCTTGGCTAAGAAGAGGAGTCTACTCAGTTGGTTGGGGGTGCTTAGAGTTTTATTTTGGGTTTACATGTGACTAGCAGGAGGCAAAAAATGAAGCAAGTTTATTATGTGCACAGGGAAATCACAGGAAAGTGATTTCTCAATAACCCCATAAGGTTGAGAAGCTTATAAGCCCTTTTTCATAGGGGAGAGGAAGATTGCAGAATATAGGCAGTTTTGAGGAATACTAAATGAATTTTAGAAAGTTGAATGGGCCTAAAGCAAAGAACAGACAATAGTTTGTCAATCATTATTTTAATAAATTGTATGGGACCTATAAACAGACAATAGTTTGTGACGAAGTCTGTCTAGGTGTGGTGACACTCCTTAGTCTTCCTTCCTGCCAAATGCGTTTAATCTTCCCTGGTTAATTAAATTTCAGGGAGGAGATTGAAGGCAATTTTGTTCCTTCTGAAGAAGCTTCAGATAACTTCATGGAGAGTTTCAGCCTGCACTTAGGGAGAGAACAGGAGAAGGTCAGAAAGTCCTTGGTTCTGAGGATGCTTCTGAAACCATTTCATTTTCTGTAGTTCGAAGTGCTCTGCACGCCAAAGTGCCATACTTTAGGGTATCATTTTTTGGGCCTCAACAATATTAACAGTGTTAATTTCTATATATGCCAAATGTTCAAAAATGGGTGTATGTCACTTCTGTTAACAGTACACACACATAAATATACACACCAACCCCAAGAGTATAAGGCTGTGGGCTGGAGGCTCAAGCTTTTAATGACTATAAGGGACTGATCTGAAGGACAATGGTCTATAGAGAAATAATGGAGCTTATAGAGTGTTATGGTTTGAAGCTTCGAGCCTCAAAGAAGAGCAGTTTCAAATGAGG